CATTTTTTTTATTTATACCTCGAATTTGACATACACAGTCATCTCAGTACAAGAATCTATGACAAACGAGACGATTTTAGTTTTGAAATTATCAAATTTCCCCAACTAAATAGCAATATATCAACTTCACCTACGTATGGGATATAAATTAACCATCTTATACGATATTCCCGAGCTTACATCTCCTATTCAGACTTTTTCAAACGTCACCACTGTATGAGCAGAAAGTTGATGAACAAGGGGCATGTTAAAGACCGTCTCGTCCTTTTTTAAAATAGTTTATCGGAAGGTATCAAGACTTTGTTGATAAGTTAATTGATTGATTGTTTGTTGCTTAACGTCTAGTGGCAAATATTCATGCATGTTCAGGACGAGTACAAGTTAACAATAAATACAGTAGGTAGGTCTTGGCATAATAGAGGCAATCCGGGATGATGGTCGGGGAAATGTGGACTGCCACTGGGAAATGAGGGTATGTTGAATAGGGATAGAAATTTTGCCTTGCAACAGGCCACCTACGGACCCTTCAAAGAGTTGATGCAAGGGTTCTTGATGCAAGGGTTCTTAACGTTCAAAGAGCGTAGCACTCTTTACACGAGGAATCAAATTTAACGCCCCCATTCTGACCGGACGTGACTGCTAACTTGATACATCCCGCAGAGACAAACGGACGCCCCACTTCGGCAAGCGTTACTGCCGGTCAGGAGAAGACCAAGTGACCATATTTCTATTCCCAAGTCACCCTTGGGGGTCTTGAAAATAGATATTCCGTATCAACTTCACAAATTATACATGATGGTCTAGGTGTATAGATTTTCTGTACTGGCGTTGTTTATCATATTAATTACGTGTTATATAGATCTTTTATTTGTCTTTGTTTTATTATCAAAATTAATTTTATTGTTCGGTCTGTTTTCAGTAATACTCATTTGACGTCGCTCGGTACTTATACAGCCCGTCAATGTGTTTGTATTATCTTTCTTTATTCGCTGGTGTGCTTTGAACGAGTGACTTTTCGTGTCATTACGTTTTTTGTTCTATCAAAACGGTACGTCTAAACACAACATAGGCCGCCTTGGTGCACTAATGTCCTGAAACTGCACTAAGGCCATGATAGAACAGTCATATAAGCACCAAGGTTATTCAGTACGATGAAGTTTTACATAAAGAGCATATATTTAACTTTTAATGTAAATATATTCAGAAATTAAAGACTTGTTACCATTTTACGTGGCACGCGCCAACTAGTGTGTAATGTGTCCAGTTATCATAGTGTTGATTGAATCCACTGAAGCTTGACGAATTCATAAAAACTGCACTAAGGAGTTGAATGAAAGGTTAAATATGCACCAGTATCATTAATAAAAATTTATTATAACACTCAAATAATTGTGTTCAAAATTGGTTCGAATTAGCTTGTGTATTGCATTAGCTTGTGTTTCTTATAAGCTTTATTGTGATATTTTAAACGAAAGGCTAACGCAATGGATAGATGACAATAATATTTTCGTCGACGAACAAAATGGTTTCCGTCAAAATCGAAGCACTATAGATCAATTGTCTTCTCTTACAAACATAATTGAAGTCCGAAAGATGCTTCGTAGATCTACTGCGTTTATTGATTTTAAAAAGGCATATGATACCATCAATAGAAATATACTATGGTCCAAGTTGAATGTGATGGGTGTTGCAGAAAATTTTTGTGCTGCTTTACAGTCTATTTACTCAAATGTATTATATTCAGTACGATTGAGCGGCCATTTAACAGTGGTCTCAAACAAGGATGTCCATTATCGCCTCTGTTATTTAATCTTGAAATCATATGAGTGTGGTATTGATATTAATGATGAAAAAGTTTGTGTGTGTATTTTGCTTTATGCTGATTTTACTAGCAAACGACGAAAAAGAATTACAAACTCTGTTAAATGCATTAAATATATGGTGTGGATATAATTGTATGACCATTAATTCCAAAAAGTGTAATATTGTGCATTTTAGAACACCTTCTGTTAATAAGTCACATGTTGAATTTAAATGTGGGAATGATATCATTGAATATTCTACTACTTATACATATTTAGGTTTAGTTTTAAGTGAATTTTGAGATTATAATGTAACTGCTAAAGCAGTTGCAGCTTCTGCAAATAGAGCACTTGGCCTTGTTATAGCTAAATGCAAAATCTTAGGTGGTGTTACTCATATTGTCTTTTCAAAATTATATGAGAGTTTGGTGCTTCCAATTGTTGAATATGGAGCTGGTATTTGGGGTTGCAAAAACTTTTCTTTTATTAATGCCATCCATAATAGAGTTTGCATATTTTTTCTTGGAGTGGGTAAATATACTCCAAATGCTGCAATTGCATGGGATATGGGGTGGATACCTATCTTTAAAAGTAGACTATCCTGGAATAGACCTATTGTCATCAACTCCTTATTCAGGAAATGTTTTTTTTTTGTTTTTTTTTTTAGAAATCTTTGATATTACTTGATTACCTTATTACAGTTAAGATAGATGTGGTTTGTGAGTTTGAAAGAAGATATTTTTAAAGTTTCTATGCTTATTCAAAATATGCTTATATTTTAAAGGACTCGACACACATCAAGTCTTAGGTCTTCTAGAAAGGAAGAAAATGGAACAAAGGTGAGGGGTCTACTTTCTGGGCAAGTAAGACCCCTGACAGTAATTGGATTGAGAAACCTGCTGAACTTCAAATACAGTGAAGGCAACAGCAGGCTTGGTGAGATAAAAACTTGTCATGCAGCAGGCAGCAAGCAAGAAAACAGGTTGGATATGATAAAATTATCTTTCACAGCAATGCATGCTTTAAAATTTTATGATGTGTCCATTGTTTAATGTTGAATAAAGCTATAGATATATTTCTAGAAAATTCTTATTCGAAGTATTTGATTTAATATTAACTTGATGATATGCTTGTGTATTAGAAGAATTACAATTCCTGTAAAACAAGTATAACAATGCACATAGCAACTTCTCGTTAAAGGAAAACAATGCAGGAAGAAAAGAACGAAGAATGTTTGCAGAAAAAAAATACTTGTCATGGTGCATATTGAGGACTTTAATATTCATGATACACATTTGGTATAATTATCACACATCTCTATACCACACACTACAAACCAGTAAAGTCTGAAATGGCCTATATCTGTACTCGACTGTACTGATTTTTACTCGACCAGTCTGAATCTGTCTGAATCGTACTTGATATTACTCGACCCCAGTCTTAACCATACTCGACTGTACTGATTTGTACTAAACCCTTATCTTTGCCATTGAAAACAGTCTGAACTAGTACTCGACCAGTCTTAAACAGTCTTAACCCATTCTCGACCTGTACTCGACCAGTACTCGACCTATTTTTTCAGTCTGAACCATACTCGACCAAAGGTCTGAACCATACTCGACCAAAGTCTGAACAATACTCGACCAGTCTGAACCAAACTCGACCAAAAAACCCTACTTATATTAATTTTAACTGTTTACTAATATAAATCAAAAATTACTTCAATTATTTTAAATTGAGTTACATCCCTTTGCATCAAATATGTCATACCTTTAATTGAGATGATAAGTATAAACAAAACATTTTCAAATAAATAATGATTTTATTGTACAAGATATTTCAACAAAAATACATAAATGTAATACAGAAATTAAAATGTCACTTATATTTAGGATTTGATGAAATGCAAATATATACATAATATGTGTAAATTATACTAAGCTTATAAAAACGGATATTTCTAGCAGTAACATGTTCATTATATAAATTAATAAACATGCAAGTAAATATCTTTTAAAGATGAAATCTCCCACATTTTAAGAATTAAAAGTATGTTAATGACAGATTAATTTATCAATATACATTGTAGATATATATCTTTTTCTGAAAATTAAAATATTTTGATAAATAGTGTATACTAGTATATGCTGAATAGAGAATGGAAAAGACAATATTGTTTATATACACACACATACATACACACATATTGGCTGAAACGTATGGAAAATTGTGTTTTTATATTATATATATATATATATATATTGAAGAGAATGGAAATGACATTCACAGTGTATATACATATATATTCATGAATAGAGAATGGATTGACATTGTGTATATACACACCTATAATATATACATGTAACATATATTCATGAATAGAGAATGTCAATTAATGAGTTAAAACCATAGGTTAATTATAATACCGAGCAAAAATATTTACCTCACCAAAAATTTTTCAATCTCGTAGTTAAAAAAGAACTTTCTTTTAAATATAACAGTTAATTATCTACACATGAAATTTAATTTCAGATTTATTTCTGCAATTATTAAAATTTATCAGAGTTTTATTCATTACAAAAAAATGGTGCAACGATTACTAATCCATTTAGTTATTAGACACTTTTAAAAAAGTAGACTGGCTCTTAACCGGGCAATTTGACTTTGGTCATTGGAAAGTATATAAAAGTTAACTTGTTATGTAGATTTTTTTTTTAAATAACTATTTATATCAAAAGCTAAACCTAAAAACAAATGAAATAAATAGATTTGAAAAGCATATATACATGTATTACACAAATTGCACAAGGAAAATTAGCTCTTTCCACTTCCTCTTTATTGGCAATAAAAATCAATGTCCATCTTATGGGACACAACTCTTCCTAATTGTGTAATTTTCATTGTCAAAATAGGGAACTTGGAAACCAGTATTTGGCAAATTAATTCCTATATATTGAATAAGATGTATAATTACTAGACAAAATGTTATTAACAAGTATAGTCCCTTACCAACTGAATATTCCTTGGAGCTGAACAAAATGCAAACTTAATTTGTAATATTTTCTGAATAAAAAAAAAATAATACACTATATCTGTTTAAACTAAAATTATGAACAATATTCTTGTGAATAAAGTTTTTACTGAAGGAATTGCATCAACAACATAAATAGACAGATTGACAGACAGTATAATCCTAAATTATGGGACCTGTGCAAAAATTCAAGCTTGATCTATGACCTATAATTAAATCATAAACCAAATATCAAATCAATATCCTCAAGCATGATGTAAAACTTACTATTAGTATAAATTAAAACGTACTATTAAAGGACCATAACTCTGGGAATAAAAATCATTTGGTCGGAACACAATTTAGACGTGACATGTAAATTGTAATGATAAAACTATACATATACCAAATATCAAAATAAAATATTCAAGGATGATGAAAAAAATTGGAAAATTGACTTTCCAGGCTGACAGATTGGACAGACAGAGTGGAAACCTATTGTTCCCTTTGGCATTTCTTGTAGGGGACTAGCAAGTTACATATGCATACATTTTCAACAATATAATATGATTAATAATATTCTAAAAAAGTTTTGAAAGTTTTTCTTTGATGACTTGGTGGTTCTCTTGGCTAAATTCTGTCTTTCCTAATGAATAAAAAATGGAATTTATGTGTACACTATCATTGTACGGTACATTTGCTGAAAGCATCCAACTGGTTAGTCCCTTAGAAGTCTTTTTTAAATATTTTATGTCCACTTTGGTCTTCCAGACTCGTGTGACTTCGGCATAGTCACAGTGTGTTTTGGAAATTGCAATACACACCACATCTTTGTTCCTGAAAGTGACACCATTTGCTGTTTTGAATTCCTACTCGGTTCTCTTTGATGACACTGAAGACATGGTGCCTGATGAAGTTGGAGAAACAACTGGTGTGATGGCAGGTGTGATTGCAGGTGAAACATTAGGTGAAACAGCAGGTGAAACAGCAGGTGTGACGGCAGGTGACACAATAGGTGTGACGGCAGGTGACACAATAGGTGTGACGGCAGGTGAAACAACAGGTGTGTTGATAGGTGAAACTACTGGTGAGATGGAAGGTGAAACAGTTTCTGGTCCAGTTGACACAGGTGAGTTATTTGTGTTTTGGTAAGTTTTGCTGCTGGCTCATGTGTAAAGGGTAAACTGCGCTTAACAGTTGCGGACTGACATTTCTTCACACTCATCCCATTCATTTGTGCAAGATGTCTGAAAAAATTAAAAAAAAATATTAACTTATTTTTACCTTAGAGAATCATGCATGCAATCTTTTTGAGTCAGAGTCTAATACATGTAGTTGTACAAGTAAGAACATACACCTCTCATTGGCAATCATACCATATCTCCTTTTTGTAGTTAAGAGGCAAACATATAATTACCCTCTAATATACAATTGTTTTCAGTAAATTTGTTTATCAAATCAAAATTGTTCAATTAAAAAGCATAAGACTCTATTTGTAAACTTAACTGCTTTTATAATACTAAAGTATTTGAACTATTCACATCTATTTTGAATTTCACATTTTACAAACATCGGCTGTGTATTGCGAAAGTTCAGTCTTTTTCAACTGTTACACCTTGAAATAATTGATGTATTTTCCCATAAGAAAAATTTATAGATTTTCTTTCTTTATTAAGGATGTACTTAGGTGAGGTTTAGGAATTTGTGTCAGATGTCAGACTTCTCGTTTTTTTCCATTGATACAGGTAAAATATTTTGCCCCATTACACCTATTCTTCTTTTAATATAAGACTTCAATTGCTCATAAAAGGTAATTTTTAAAAAAGTAGACTGGCTCTTAACCGGGCAATTTGACTTTGGTCATTGGAAAGTATATAAAAGTTAACTTGTTATGTAGATTTTTTTTTTAAATAACTATTTATATCAAAAGCTAAACCTAAAAACAAATGAAATAAATAGATTTGAAAAGCATATATACATGTATTACACAAATTGCACAAGGAAAATTAGCTCTTTCCACTTCCTCTTTATTGGCAATAAAAATCAATGTCCATCTTATGGGACACAACTCTTCCTAATTGTGTAATTTTCATTGTCAAAATAGGGAACTTGGAAACCAGTATTTGGCAAATTAATTCCTATATATTGAATAAGATGTATAATTACTAGACAAAATGTTATTAACAAGTATAGTCCCTTACCAACTGAATATTCCTTGGAGCTGAACAAAATGCAAACTTAATTTGTAATATTTTCTGAATAAAAAAAAAATAATACACTATATCTGTTTAAACTAAAATTATGAACAATATTCTTGTGAATAAAGTTTTTACTGAAGGAATTGCATCAACAACATAAATAGACAGATTGACAGACAGTATAATCCTAAATTATGGGACCTGTGCAAAAATTCAAGCTTGATCTATGACCTATAATTAAATCATAAACCAAATATCAAATCAATATCCTCAAGCATGATGTAAAACTTACTATTAGTATAAATTAAAACGTACTATTAAAGGACCATAACTCTGGGAATAAAAATCATTTGGTCGGAACACAATTTAGACGTGACATGTAAATTGTAATGATAAAACTATACATATACCAAATATCAAAATAAAATATTCAAGGATGATGAAAAAAATTGGAAAATTGACTTTCCAGGCTGACAGATTGGACAGACAGAGTGGAAACCTATTGTTCCCTTTGGCATTTCTTGTAGGGGACTAGCAAGTTACATATGCATACATTTTCAACAATATAATATGATTAATAATATTCTAAAAAAGTTTTGAAAGTTTTTCTTTGATGACTTGGTGGTTCTCTTGGCTAAATTCTGTCTTTCCTAATGAATAAAAAATGGAATTTATGTGTACACTATCATTGTACGGTACATTTGCTGAAAGCATCCAACTGGTTAGTCCCTTAGAAGTCTTTTTTAAATATTTTATGTCCACTTTGGTCTTCCAGACTCGTGTGACTTCGGCATAGTCACAGTGTGTTTTGGAAATTGCAATACACACCACATCTTTGTTCCTGAAAGTGACACCATTTGCTGTTTTGAATTCCTACTCGGTTCTCTTTGATGACACTGAAGACATGGTGCCTGATGAAGTTGGAGAAACAACTGGTGTGATGGCAGGTGTGATTGCAGGTGAAACATTAGGTGAAACAGCAGGTGAAACAGCAGGTGTGACGGCAGGTGACACAATAGGTGTGACGGCAGGTGACACAATAGGTGTGACGGCAGGTGAAACAACAGGTGTGTTGATAGGTGAAACTACTGGTGAGATGGAAGGTGAAACAGTTTCTGGTCCAGTTGACACAGGTGAGTTATTTGTGTTTTGGTAAGTTTTGCTGCTGGCTCATGTGTAAAGGGTAAACTGCGCTTAACAGTTGCGGACTGACATTTCTTCACACTCATCCCATTCATTTGTGCAAGATGTCTGAAAAAATTAAAAAAAAATATTAACTTATTTTTACCTTAGAGAATCATGCATGCAATCTTTTTGAGTCAGAGTCTAATACATGTAGTTGTACAAGTAAGAACATACACCTCTCATTGGCAATCATACCATATCTCCTTTTTGTAGTTAAGAGGCAAACATATAATTACCCTCTAATATACAATTGTTTTCAGTAAATTTGTTTATCAAATCAAAATTGTTCAATTAAAAAGCATAAGACTCTATTTGTAAACTTAACTGCTTTTATAATACTAAAGTATTTGAACTATTCACATCTATTTTGAATTTCACATTTTACAAACATCGGCTGTGTATTGCGAAAGTTCAGTCTTTTTCAACTGTTACACCTTGAAATAATTGATGTATTTTCCCATAAGAAAAATTTATAGGTTTTCTTTCTTTATTAAGGATGTACTTAGGTGAGGTTTAGGAATTTGTGTCAGATGTCAGACTTCTCGTTTTTTTCCATTGATACAGGTAAAATATTTTGCCCCATTACACCTATTCTTCTTTTAATATAAGACTTCAATTGCTCATAAAAGGTAATTTTTAAAAAAGTAGACTGGCTCTTAACCGGGCAATTTGACTTTGGTCATTGGAAAGTATATAAAAGTTAACTTGTTATGTAGATTTTTTTTTTAAATAACTATTTATATCAAAAGCTAAACCTAAAAACAAATGAAATAAATAGATTTGAAAAGCATATATACATGTATTACACAAATTGCACAAGGAAAATTAGCTCTTTCCACTTCCTCTTTATTGGCAATAAAAATCAATGTCCATCTTATGGGACACAACTCTTCCTAATTGTGTAATTTTCATTGTCAAAATAGGGAACTTGGAAACCAGTATTTGGCAAATTAATTCCTATATATTGAATAAGATGTATAATTACTAGACAAAATGTTATTAACAAGTATAGTCCCTTACCAACTGAATATTCCTTGGAGCTGAACAAAATGCAAACTTAATTTGTAATATTTTCTGAATAAAAAAAAAATAATACACTATATCTGTTTAAACTAAAATTATGAACAATATTCTTGTGAATAAAGTTTTTACTGAAGGAATTGCATCAACAACATAAATAGACAGATTGACAGACAGTATAATCCTAAATTATGGGACCTGTGCAAAAATTCAAGCTTGATCTATGACCTATAATTAAATCATAAACCAAATATCAAATCAATATCCTCAAGCATGATGTAAAACTTACTATTAGTATAAATTAAAACGTACTATTAAAGGACCATAACTCTGGGAATAAAAATCATTTGGTCGGAACACAATTTAGACGTGACATGTAAATTGTAATGATAAAACTATACATATACCAAATATCAAAATAAAATATTCAAGGATGATGAAAAAAATTGGAAAATTGACTTTCCAGGCTGACAGATTGGACAGACAGAGTGGAAACCTATTGTTCCCTTTGGCATTTCTTGTAGGGGACTAGCAAGTTACATATGCATACATTTTCAACAATATAATATGATTAATAATATTCTAAAAAAGTTTTGAAAGTTTTTCTTTGATGACTTGGTGGTTCTCTTGGCTAAATTCTGTCTTTCCTAATGAATAAAAAATGGAATTTATGTGTACACTATCATTGTACGGTACATTTGCTGAAAGCATCCAACTGGTTAGTCCCTTAGAAGTCTTTTTTAAATATTTTATGTCCACTTTGGTCTTCCAGACTCGTGTGACTTCGGCATAGTCACAGTGTGTTTTGGAAATTGCAATACACACCACATCTTTGTTCCTGAAAGTGACACCATTTGCTGTTTTGAATTCCTACTCGGTTCTCTTTGATGACACTGAAGACATGGTGCCTGATGAAGTTGGAGAAACAACTGGTGTGATGGCAGGTGTGATTGCAGGTGAAACATTAGGTGAAACAGCAGGTGAAACAGCAGGTGTGACGGCAGGTGACACAATAGGTGTGACGGCAGGTGACACAATAGGTGTGACGGCAGGTGAAACAACAGGTGTGTTGATAGGTGAAACTACTGGTGAGATGGAAGGTGAAACAGTTTCTGGTCCAGTTGACACAGGTGAGTTATTTGTGTTTTGGTAAGTTTTGCTGCTGGCTCATGTGTAAAGGGTAAACTGCGCTTAACAGTTGCGGACTGACATTTCTTCACACTCATCCCATTCATTTGTGCAAGATGTCTGAAAAAATTAAAAAAAAATATTAACTTATTTTTACCTTAGAGAATCATGCATGCAATCTTTTTGAGTCAGAGTCTAATACATGTAGTTGTACAAGTAAGAACATACACCTCTCATTGGCAATCATACCATATCTCCTTTTTGTAGTTAAGAGGCAAACATATAATTACCCTCTAATATACAATTGTTTTCAGTAAATTTGTTTATCAAATCAAAATTGTTCAATTAAAAAGCATAAGACTCTATTTGTAAACTTAACTGCTTTTATAATACTAAAGTATTTGAACTATTCACATCTATTTTGAATTTCACATTTTACAAACATCGGCTGTGTATTGCGAAAGTTCAGTCTTTTTCAACTGTTACACCTTGAAATAATTGATGTATTTTCCCATAAGAAAAATTTATAGGTTTTCTTTCTTTATTAAGGATGTACTTAGGTGAGGTTTAGGAATTTGTGTCAGATGTCAGACTTCTCGTTTTTTTCCATTGATACAGGTAAAATATTTTGCCCCATTACACCTATTCTTCTTTTAATATAAGACTTCAATTGCTCATAAAAGGTAATTTACCAAATAAGAGATTCTTGCTTTCTTACTTTCGATTTCAGACATACCAATACAAAGAGGTGGTCGGACACTGTTTGTTTTCTTTTTGGAACCATGATGCCCAGTGATAGAGTGGCCCCTTAGTTCCTCAGTTGTGAATATACGCCTAAGGAGCCATTTACTATCCTGCTTCCAACCACGCCCAGGCAAGTCATGGTTTAGTTGGGCCTGTCAACAGAAAATTATATCAAATATGTATATGTTATACTGAATAAAGAACTAAAGTTGGCAGTTATTATTTTATTATCCAAAAGTAAATTTTATCTTTGATTTAAACTGGCTTTTATTTTCAGTATCACTAGATTGGCCATGATAAAAAAATATTGGGTCAGTTCTCTAATCTCACATTATGCAAATAATTTTGAAGGGATCCAAGTTCCATTTCATTCACAAAAGATTGGTAGTGCTTTTTTCCATGTCTTTTTTCAGTGAAATGTACATATATGTTCTATGAATGAAATATTTTCGTCTCACATTGAATTTGAAAAATACAAAATCTCTTGCTAATCATTTACTTGCTGGAATATCAAATGACCATTTGTTGTTTTGATGTTTCATCTATTTTCTTTGTTGCATTGATTAACCTGTCCAGTCACTATGAAGTGTTACATTTTTATATTAATAAGCAACACAAACATGGTTACTGGAGAGGTACTTCTTTTCCGTCACTGAAAAACTATAAGAAAATTTTAAAATTGCATATTCAATATGTATTTTACTTTAACATGTACAAATTCATAAGTGTCAGTAAATCTGAAATGACCTGGATGAAAAAGACAAAATACAAATAAAATTGCTATTAAAACCAAAAGCAAGGGAAAGATTTAAAGTAACAATGGAGAGTAGCATTTTAAACTTTGTTAATGTAAGTTAAATTTAGAACTGAAATGAAAAGCTATGTTTAAAGTAAGAATAAACAGTCATGATGCAAAGTATATACTAGATTACCTTTGTAAATCCATTATAAAGATAGAGATGCCAGGCCTATATTATTACAGGGAATATATTGTATTATTTGCATTTCTTTGAAAGATCTTGTCAAGAAGAACATTTTAAGCCCTTGTTTTTTTAAATCCAATGTAGGGTTACAAAGTTATGAACAATTTAAAGTTGTCATTCGGTCCCCCTTTTTTCTCCAAGATGGCCGCCACTAAAATTGTGTTGATTTGAGATTTTATAGGCATATTTTGAGGCAAGTAGCAAGCACTGTGCCCTAAAATACTCTAATCTAGCAGAACACACTACACTCTTTAGGGAAAATCAATAATATTCAGCAACATATGTTATTAAAAGAATTTTTATCAGCATCAAACAACCTTGAATCGTCCATTCTGATATTACCGAAAGGTATTGATAGCCATGTTGAAGCATAATTTTCTACTAAATGACCCACACAAAGACAGAACTGTACTAAATTCACTATATTATTTTGCCTGGTCTGTTTAAATCTGCAATCTTGGTATAACAAAGTAGAAAAAACAAATAATTTCTTGGTCTCTAAATATGCTGTCGCACTAATTTTTGCTAAGAAATCTGAATGGCACCAATTAACTAAGACCTGAATTAGCTTTTTTTTGTACCAAAAAACAACAAAATCTGTCATTTCTTTAAAATTGTGCAAGGTATCAAGATGAAAATTGAGATACAACATCGTGAAATATCACTAGATATGATTTTGATAAATGTATATGTTTGAAAGGAAAAATGGCCGCCATTTTGAATCAAAATGGCCGACATTTTGACATTTTTTTCCTCGTAAAATCACATTTTCACTCACTGCTCGCTCATTTCTCAACCGATTTTAAAAATCTTGGTACCAAAATGTTTGTCTTGCATCCACCTTTTCATTTTATTGATTGTATTCTGTGAGTTTAGAGCTCTCACTGATTTATTTGTAGCAAGGATAGTGATTTACAGCTGTGTATTTAAATTTTCGGGTACATTTGTTGAAATAGATCATTTTGTTGCGATATGATTATATGTTGTACCAAGACATAATAACCTGATCTTATTAATATGTTAATTCACAAGATAACACTTCACACAACTTTTAGACACTCTTCTCTGGCAGTACATCAGTAACTGACTGGCTCAAAAATCCTTTGCTCTTAATATTGAATACAGTGTTCAAAGTAAATCTTATTGTAGTAAAACTAATACCAATTTTCAAGTCTAAGATTTGACCTGTCTTTTTGATACAACCAAAGACATCTTGCACTTGTGATAAGCACAATCAATGAGACTTCCAAGATGGACACCTTATTTGTATTCACAAATAAATAAAACATAAAACTAATTCCTGAATCTTGCTTCATATTTTTATTAACAAGAAACCATCACCAAGTAAGACCTTTACACAATACATGTACATCATAACATGCAACCACATAATACAAAGTTGAGTACAATTACCACATAAAACTTGCAACAAGTAGAAACAAAGTCATGAGTACCATCACCACAAAACATGCAACAAGTAAATACAAAGTTATTAGTACCATACCACCACATCAAAAAACCAAGCAAATCCAAAGTTATGAATACATTCAACACATAAAACATACAACAAGTAAATACAAAGTTATGAGTACCATCACCACATAAAACATACAACAAGTAAATACAAAGTTATGAGTACCATCACCACATAAAACATACAACAAGTAAATACAAAGTTATGAGTACCATCACCACATAAAACATACAACAAGTAAATACAAAGTTATGAGTACCATACCACCACATCAAAAAACCAAGCAAATCCAAAGTTATGAGTACCATCAACACATAAAACAAGTAAATACAAAGTTATGAGTACCATCACCACATAAAACTGCAACAATAAAATAAAAAGTTATGAGTACTATCACCACAAAAAACATACAACAAGTAAATACAAATGAGTACAATCACCACATAAAACATACAGCAGTTAAATACAAAGTTATGAGTACCATCACCACATAAAAAGTGCAACAAGTAGATATGAAGTTATTGGTACCATCACCACAAAAATCATGCAACAAGCATTATTTGTATCGCTCAGCTACAGATTTATGCAATTTATAGAGGACATCATTAAAGATTTATACAAATTATGAGCATCTTTCTTTAATTTGTAAAAGCACATGTACATGCGAACATTTTCACCAATATTTAATAAAATATGAACTTGAAAAGTCAAAGGTTGATTCTTGGTCTGGATAACTTATTCTTGCACGAAACGACGAATGCCAAGTAAAGATTTAGATGTTTATACATGCATTGTTAAATGCTGCTATGCTGCTTTTAGACTAATTTATTTAGTAATTAGTCAAAATATTTTCTACAGTACTGTTCGTACTCATATTGAATTTTGTGATAATTGGTTAAATACCAAGTTCTACCACCAGAGTCCTTTGATAAAATTTCAAAATCTAAATAAAAAATAAACATTTCATCAATTTCACTAATATCCTCTTTTTCAGGCCATTTAAAAAAATTCTGTACAGATTTTGCAGGATGCAAAAATTTTACTTTGAAAATAGTGTTTTCCTGGGCTATAACTTGTCCAGGATACCATGTATCCATATAGGCCACAACAACATTTTACCAACTGGACATTCATTTAATCCAGTCATTATCATATCATGATCAAAAGACTGAGAAGAACTTTCAACATTCATATTTAATATCAGAGTTATTTTCAACAGTATTCTTTGAAGTGTTTTCAACTATAGACACAGTTTTCTTCCTTTTAGGAACTGGTTCTTTGAAAACTTTGTTAGCTTCAATACATTTTTTTAATTTAATATTTTCTATTTTTTTCAATACAATTTCCCTCTGTTTTTGCATAATTTCATCTCTTTCATTTTTGGATTTAATAACAAAAAACACCATACTGTTAGGGGGGACTGATTGTGTATAGTCAGCTGCCAACACAACTTTAAGATGGGAAACAAGTTCATGCAAGGGAAACTGAATACCATTGGCAGAAAATTGCAATAAAAATTTGTCTTCTGGATTGCATTTTAATACTTTTTTTCTAAATTTTAACTGTAATTTAACTGCTTCCATTTTTTCAGTTTCATTAAGTTTTTTTAAGTGTTTATTTATGTCTTGTGAAGTTACCCATAAACCTCCTATTTTTTCAATGTCCTTGGTTAAAGATTGAAGTTCTTGTTGCTTTGAATTTTCTTTTCTGAGTTTTTCCTCTCTTTTGTTTTTCAATAATAAAATGTATTGATTTTTAATATGTTCTTTTCTCAGTTTAAATTGTTTTAACATTGCAGGTGCCCTTTCTCTTGCTATTTTAAAAATTTGTGTTTTCTTTTCTGTCTCTATTTGATCAAGCCAATGTAATGTTTTGTTGTTGGTAAATAAAATTAAACCTTCCAATGCTACTATGTTAGCATTGGGTTTTTCCCTTTTTAATCTGTCTAAATTTGCAAAATCTCGCTCTGAAACTATATTTGTCGGTTTAACAGTCGTCGATTCGTCTCTTAGTTCTTTCCCATTAACCCCTTCTGTTTCTTCATTTAAACTGCCACCTGGCAAATTATCAAATAGTTGCCTTTCTATTATAATACAAAAATTTAACAAAACAATTTGTAAAGCTTCTGTGGTTAAAATGTTTAAATCTTCATTATCAATTAAAAATAAACTTTCAAAAACTTTATCTTGAACGGTATATTCAGGATATAAGACTTTCCCTTCAACAAGTTCTGTGGCATCTACTGAATATTTTTCTAAAATCTTTTTAAAATCAAACCAAACTTTATTCAAATCTAAAATATGTGAGGTGCTTTCAATTATACGCCAAATAGGACCTGTTAAAATTTTGTCAACTATTCTAAATGCCCTACAACCAGCAAGATAGACTGGATTATCTACATAGTAATAGACTGAAGTTATTAATGAATTCCTTTCTGTAATGCTGAAAAATGAATCAATAAATTCTTTGATGTGTTCTCTATGAAAAAAAACTGCTGCTCCCATGGAAAATAATAAATTTATTCTGTGACCATGAAAAGTACTCATTTTTAAATCAACTGGACTTTCAAGCTGTTTTAAAAAGGTTAAAAAAAGTTGACCGTACCCAGATTTTTCATCAGCACCTGGCACACACAGCTTTGTACTTGCACGAATAAAATCAGAAGTGTTTTGGTTGTATGTGAACTGATGAAAACTTTCAGATTCAAGTACACTCTGCTCCCATAACTTTAAGCCAGATTCAGCCTGTGACGCTAAATTTACTAGAATGTGCAGGTTACATTTAAAACCATTTAATTTTGATATTTATTTACGTATTTCTGCAGAATTGTCAGAGCTGTTTGGTATACATTCTAGTTTAATTTTTTCCAGTGATGTTTTAAGACATGTATTAACTATGTGTCTGTCTGTCATTGTATTTTTTATTGACAACAACAATTCATTTTTTTTTCAGTGTAATTTTCATGTAAAAGTTTTGCCATATCTGTAATAACTAAATCAATAATTTCTAAAAAGTTTTCTGTATCCCCACGCAACATTTCAACCAAACCGATACTGTACTGACCACTATCAGTTCCTATTTGCAGCCCCCCAAATTCACGACCATCCCTTTTTGTGCCATCTGTGTGTAGAGTGTTATTTTTGCTATTTAGCATTGCTTCTGTTGCCTGCAATTGTGCTATGATTTTTGCTTCTATTAGCATAGTTTCTGCAAATGTTTTTTTTGGTAAACGTTCAACCTTTAACCCCCCCCCCCCATTTTTTCTAAAACAGTTCGAACAATTTTTTCGACATTACATACTCCAACGTTCATGGATAGAAGTGAAGCATATACCTCCCTTATAGTGTCATTATATTTTCCCCCATGAAATGTTTGAACTATTTGTGATTTCATTAAGTCTTCAATATTTTCTTTTAATATTTCATTTTCATTTTCCAAATATTTCATTCTGTTTTCCATATCTGAATCCGTCCTTATACCTGATTTTTTTATTGAGTCAACAGTTTCATTACTATTTTCTTTTTTGAGGTTTTTGTTCCGGTAATATCTCAGAAGTGCTGATTGTCCTTTATACTTTCTTTTTATGTTCTTATTTCTTTGTCTTAAATATTTTATTTCCTTTTCATGTTTGTTTTTTTCGGATGTTAGTTGTGAAATACTTGTTTGCTTACGTTTCAGTCTTTTGTTTACATTTCTTGTTGATAATTCAGACATTTTTGATAGACTATCAGTGTATTTAGCTGTTACTTTTTTATGTTCTTTTCTAATTTTGAATAACTTCAAGTTTGCACTAAATTTCTGTTGTCTTGTTTTTTCCAGTTTTTTTTCCAGGTCAATAATAATATTTTTTTGTTCGGCAAACTTATGAGAAGCGTTATTGATGTAGTCTTGAAACCTTTTATTGTCAACCTTTTCTGAACTATTCCTTTTTTCATTTGAGTCAGAATTACACAAGGTATTTCCTTTCTGAGGGGGGATATATTGTTCTGTCAAGTAGGCACTGACATTTTGCCTATCATGTAAAGAAATCTTTGACAATTTTTTGTAAACTAATTCAATATTGCATTTTAACCCATCAGAGTCAGGGGTGTAATTTAAATGACATAAAAATTGAACCCACAATGCAACTGTTTTGTGTAATATACTATGTTGCATTCTTACTTTTCTCAATTCAACAATAAGACCATTTGTTACATCAATTTTATTTGGTATAGGAGATGGATTTTTCAACCAATCCAAACTGATACCCTCTTTTTCACATATGGGACCAACATCTTTGAAAGCAATCCCTATGGCTTGCTCTTTACCAATAGATAGATCTTTTTTCTTAAAAACCGATTTCATTTTGTTTCGATTTTTTCTTAGAAATACCGACACATTTACACTACTATAATTAAGATTTTCAAAAATAATAGGCATATTTTCCTTAAAAGAGAGTTCTACACTTTCTTCAACTACCGCTATCACACAATGCCAAAACAGATATTCTTGCCATACATTCTGCTTTAACTTTTCTAAACTCCAACCATCTAAAAAAAAAAAAGGCACCAAAATTTCATGAGTTTCAAATGTACAAATGTACATGTAATATTGGTGTGCTTCTTATTCATGTTATTAATTGTTTGAAACGTTGACCAGCAAAATTTTTAAAATGACTAGGGACCTTTGAGTTGATTGCATTTCTGATAAAGTTTTTTAAATTACATATCATTATATGCAATTTTTTAAATTACATATCATTATATGCAACAATCGCAAGAGTCACCTATTAGTTGGCACTTATTTTTAAGATGCCTTAGTTGTTAAGATAAAACTTAAAAGGAAAGTTACTTGTTTATTTTTAAACACCATAAACATATAGGATTAGGCATCAAAGTATTGTTCCATAGAGACCACAATCGTCCAGCGATGTCTTCAATCCATCTCACCACTGACCAGCAATGTGCAGAGATCATATACTGAAAAAAAAATAGAGGGACCACAAAGAAACAGTTCTAGTTAACATGTTGAAAAGTTGTGTATATATATTTACACATTTATATATGACGTAATGAATCTGCATATTACTAAATACAGGAAAATTTTAAAAATAAAAGAGATGTTGAAAAGTACAGTATTTATAGCTCTTTTCTTTTCATGAAATCTGTCTTTGCTTAATAGCGAAAGCATTTTTCATCGAATTAAATTTTGCATACATATATAATATATATTAAAATGTTTTTGGTGAATATATGTACATGTACATGGTGTAAACAAGCGAAAAAAAGTCATTGATTATAAATATAAAGATTTATTTAATTAATATATTTGAAGCCGATAATGTTTTCAGTATAATGCTGTCATTTACCGACTAATAAATCTGATTACGAAATGCAAATTAAAGTTAAATTTATAATTAAATGTAGCTAATCTTACTATATAAAATACTAACCGGTATACATGCAATTGATGAGAAGAGAATGAATCATGTGTCTGTCAACTCCCATGCAGGATAAGTAATTCCAAACATCTGTCTCTTCTATCAGTTGGGCCACAGGCACAGGAGATGGGGATCCTGAATTTAAATTAAAACAGTCTTTAAAAGAAGTTGATACTTATGTTTCAAATCTGTGTTTCTGTACTTACAACGGTTTGGCCACATTTACTATTTCTCATTTATGTAATTTATGACAATTTTGACTTGCTTTTATAACATAAAAGGTGGGGTTCTTACAATTCATGAATGTCACGTACATCTACAATTGTATGCAAGTAAAACACTAGAAACATATAAAAAAAAACTTAAATTTCAATTAAAATAGTCTCGGATATACGGTAATAATATTTATACTAACCGATATTTACACGATCGCTGATTTCGAACGATGTCTGTTGACGCTGCTCTGTCATGGTGAGGGGCAGTTAAAAATGCCTGAAATTAGATATGTTCCTGGTCATAAATCGTTTTAAAATAACTTTAACTAGACTAAAATGCCATCGAGGAATTTAAAAATCGTAGTCGTTTTAAAAAAATATCAATATTTCTACTTGAAAATTATCTTTGAAGTTTTGTTAAATTCTTTTGCTGGTGAGCGTAAACAGGAACCGGAAAGCAACCTCGATTTCGCAGTAGATAGGAATCTCCGCTTTCATTGGATAATAATTATATAAACGTATGACGTCAGGAACATATTTATTTTTAACTCCAAACTAGATATCCCCAGAAAAAAAACCGTGCCGCGCAGTTCAAAAAGTCGTTCACGTAGGTTTTCTTTCGACTCGATAAAATAAAAACGAAACGATGTTCAGTAAAAACAAAGATAGTAAAAGAAATAAAAATAATTTATTACAAAAAGAAATGCTACATAGGAAAGATAAAAGATTAGCAAAAGGGGGAAATCTGACAACAACAATGGTCATTTTCCAGTGATATCAGTCACCGGAAAACAAAATGGCGGCCAAATAACGTTAAACTGGCATCTCTAATAAAGAACTTGAGTTGGGACACCAGGCTCACATCTCTCTGTCGAACCAAGTTGAGATGGTGACTTTGGAGTCTAAAAGTGATAAAGAATGATACATAAGGGTAATTTGTTTTTATTTTGAATATCAGGTGCAATGTCAGGGGGTACTAATTAAACAAGTGCTAATGTAAATTGTCAAAGAATTCAATGACACCAAATCTTAAAACATCTTGTATAAGAAATTCAAAGCATTCTATTAGTATTGCATGGCAATACAATTAGGCCCCAACCGTTTAAAAATTCACTGTATTGGAACAAAATTCTAACTTAATCTATAACTTGTCATGGTGTAAACTTTTTAACAAATATCAAGTAAATATCTTCAACCAGAACTCAGCAATGTCAGGCCTTAAACCAATAGCTGTATGCTGGTTTCTGATAAGCATAACCCATTGGAATTTTCTGTGTTGGTTAAATAAGGGACGACATCAAAAAATCAATGAAGGATAAAAAACTTAGATCAAATAGTTTGGGGATGGGGGTCAAAATTGCTGCAAGTTTTGTTTAATTGACATCGATTTTATATATATCTTTAATGGTCGATCAATTTTTCACAAATTAAGTTAAGAGTGGGGATAGGGTAGTTAGTGAAAAAACTATATGAATTTAGTTTTTTTATCCTACATTGAACTTTTGATGTCGTCCCTAATGGATAGTAAGACTAGTATTTTCACATACCACTAACATTCTCTGCGTTTCATTGGCCTGATTATTGGTCTGCGAGATGTAGCTTTGACCATTTTGATTCTGGGTGTTATGGCTCTGGGAATTATATTGATATTGTTCCATCTGTAAAATATATGATAAGTCAAGCTATGTCCAGTCCCAAATCTTAATCATTTAATCTAGGGATGTCAACTCGGTGATGATTTACTAATCGATTACTCGTTGGATTTACCGAGCTATACTCGAGTACTCGCTTGGAAAAACATTCTCAAAACGGAACACAAAATTATACCATTTGATGTACTGTGGGTCGTTTTCTTATCGTAAAACCGTCCACATCATTACCTACATATAGGACTAGATAATAGTCAAAACAAATTTTATACCATAATTAATTGCTCATTTACTACAATAATCAGGTAAACTGGTAATATTCTAATCAAGTAATTTGATAAATATCTGTAGAAAAATTATTACTCAAATAACAGTATTTGTGAACCGTAAAAAACACCTTTGATATATATAATCAACAAAAGGGGTGATAATTAATACTTACTGATGAAATTAATCATTTTCTGAGGATTGACACAGGGTGCAACGAATTTTTTCTTATCTAAAAAATATTATCTTGTCAACTTTTACTAGGACGTAGCGATTTCTCAGATTTGTTTGGTAACTGCTGATGAACATACATACTCTGATGGTACAGAGTTTTGGAATTGACTAAGATAAGCTTAAAGTGTAAGCCTTTGAATGTGCTCTTTTTCGTATATCCTCTATGTACATTTGTTTGAAGGAATTCTAAATGACAGTTAAATGCAAACATTCGAATTGTATCTTAATTTTTATTAATATTAATTAAGACGTTATTTCCCATAAGGCGCTCTCAATAAAAATATATTTTGTTTAAACTTGAGAAAGCAACAACATTCTTACAGGAAACCGATTAGTCGAGTATCATTTTGGTAATCGATACTTGGTACTACTGAGGGATACTTGAGTACTCTTTGACATCCGTAATTTAATCAAATCCTATCCACTAATTTGCACATAGATGTACATGTATATACAGTGATCACTTGTTATTGGTCAAAAATGGATTCCAAAAAAAAACATTATCTTTTCTCTCTTGTTGGTAAACATCTCCCCCATATAAGAGAAAAATAACAAAATGCAATTTATACTCATTGTGACATTTAGTATCAATGAAAAAAATATAAAACAATATTGCACAACTGTTATCTACCAATTAAAATGTAATTTAAATGCATGTATACCTGGTAAAGCCGTAAATGTAGCTGGTACATGTTGTTGTTCTGGTCAAGAATCTGTTTTTGCAGATTCTCAACAGTAACCGCCAAACGGTCACATTTACTGCAGCCTTGATGTTCACTGTTCAAGGGATACCTTGGGAGGGGTTTCAGAACTTCTGGTGGCTCTGATCTCGAGTGGACAGGAGTGGATGAACATGGTAGAGGTACAGGTGTAACATCATCTGTATCATCGGTATCATCATTCACATCCACATCCACTGACATGGAGACAGCCTCACCTATGACACTCAAGGTTGATGTTTCTTGAATTTGACCCAATTGTTGGTCTTCATCTTCTAAGTCCTTAAGCAAAGACTCCATCAACATGTCTGAAACACGTGATAAGTCTTTGCTCTAAAAATATAAAATTATAAAAATATAGCCCTAAACAAAATCAGCAACATCAAGTAAAATGGGGGATATTAATGTTGCTTTAACAACCCATTATAAAATACAAATACAAAATAACAATAATTGTACATTGAAGACAAAGCAATCACCTTTCAATGACTTTTTAATTTCTTTTCTTTAAATAGTTAAAGACAAAGTTGATGCATTTTTAGAATTGAAGAAACTAATATCATTCACCTATTTCTATTAACATAATCATGATAATTGCTAGGCTATTCAGTTGATAAGGGGATTGATAAGCTTTAATGTTAGAACAATCGAAATTGAACATTTAACTGGCATGATTCAAAGAAAGTATGTTTAAGAAATTGGTCTTATATATTATTGCCTGAAATCTCATTAAACATGATATAAATTAAAGAACCTTTGAGAAAAAACTCACTCCCCCCCCCCCCCCTCTCCCCAAGACCATGACTGACGGACAGACCAAATAAAAACATTATATCCTACAGAACTTTGTTTCTTGTGGTATAAAAATACCATGTTTTGGACAATTGTCACTACATAATCAATTATTTCTAGTAACAGACTCGTAGCTTTTGGTAAAGACGGTATTCAATTGGCGTAGCTTGGCAAATTACAACAATGAATGCAATAACTGACAAAAGACCCTATCAGTTTTACTAAAAGGTAATTACTCACAGTGGATGGTCTTTCAGTATCAACAGTTTCATTCTTTTTCCTTTTTTTCACCTCACAACAGAAATGAATAAAAATAAAACTTTTTTGTGAAATGACAATATAGAAAGACATCCACTTAACCACTTCATATAGTATGTATACTATTGAAAAATTGCGTAATGTAGCTATATATGTGAAAATATTATTAAAACTTTAGGCTTTGTGTTGAAGGCCATACTTTGACCTATAATGGTTTACTTTTACACCTTGTGATTTGGATGGAGAGTTGTCTCGTTGGCACTCATACATTAAATTAAATTTTTAAGTGGAACCAATTTTCATTCTTAAATCTTACAAAGCTGGTCCAAGTTGTGTGCTAAAGAGAAGTAACAAATACCAATTTTCAGGGTTTTGGTTTAACTCAGTTTGGCAATGATGGCTTTTTGCACTTGATTTGAGCATCCTATCACAAGACCATGTGTCCATGGTGACTGTTTACATCTAAATAATCTGTTTAACTTTGGCTAAAAAACTTCATTCATGTGATATGAGGGAAAATTAAAGGGTATATCCCTTTAAAGCTTCCTTTTTTTGGAAAACAGAAGTAATCCTTTGTGAAAACTGGACATCAATGTATTTGATGAGTAAATGTACATATCAAAATTTATTTAGTACTTGACTTACAGATTTACTTTCATTGGTTTTTGAGGTACTATTCTCTTGGCTGCTTCCCTTCTTCTTCTTTAGATTAACCTAAAATGTTTTAATATAACAAAAGGTGAATGACAGTAAAACCAATAACTTAACTGGGACAATTTTAATTTTTAGTTGTTTTTCAACTTTGTTAATTGTGCTGCTTTAAATCATTTACAAATAATATGAAAATGAGATATAATGAGACTTAGTGTAGCCGGATCATATATGGACTTTTTTAGTTTTGAAGTGTTGTCTAATTGCATAAACAACTTAAAACAGAAAAACAGAAATATTGAGAAAATAAAGTAAGTTCACTCGTTGTGTTTTGGGATTTTTGTCGGATTTTTGAAATCCTCTTGTTTTATCCATTTGAATGCTCTAAAAAAATTGCCCATTGACACCCATTTTAAAAAAAAATCTTTTAACATGTATAAGGCAAAAAAATTATATATGTCTGTTTACGGTTACCCGACCTTCCCTACTTTAGAGCGCCAACCCTAAGTCATTTTATTTCCGTCGTAAAGTGAAAAATAAACTGAGCTCGTGTCAAAAGTGAAGTTAGTGTTGCCAATAGTATAAATCAATTGCCTGATACATCCTAATGTTCACAATCATGAATATGACAGCTGTTTTAAGGAAATTCGCGACTCGTGTGATGAAATAAACACTTTGCCGCCATTTTTTCCCAACCAATATCAAAGGGAAATAATCCAATTATTAAATATTAGGGTAACTCTGCCCATGTTTAATTCGGACCATGACAAGACGAAACCACATGACTCAAATCATGACACAAAAAAATAAAATGAAAAAGTAAAATAAAATGGAAATACCGACCTACCTACCCTATTTATTTGAAGTATGTGACCTTAAACATTAATTTCAATTAGTTTTTTTTGTAACATAATAAATTAGCTTTGGAATATAAGAGGAACTTCAATGCTGTCACTGTCAGAGTGGGTCAGATTAAATGTAAATTATCAAATAATTTTACAAAATGAAGTCCCAGATTATTGATTGATTGATGGTTGCTTAACGTCCAGTGGCAAATATTTCATGCAAATTCAGGACGAGAACAAATTAACAATAAATACAATAGGTAGGTTCTGTAATAGAGGCGTCCGGGATTAAGGTCGAAGAAATTTAGACTGCCACGGGAAATGAGGGTATATTGGATAGGGACAGAAATTTAGCCTTGCAACAGGTCACCTACGGACCCCTCAATGAGTTGTTGCAAAGGTTCTTAACGTGCAAAGAGCGTGGCACTCTCTTTACACGAGGCATCGGATTTAACGTCCCCATTCTGACCGGACGTGGCTGCCAATTTGTACATCCCGCACAGCCAAACGGACGCCCCACTTTAGCGAGGGTTTTACCGCCGGTCGGAGGAAGACCAATGGTGACCATACTTCTATTCCCCAGTCACCCTTGGGGAAGATATGCAGAGTGGAAAATCGCATCCAATGTGACTGTTGTAATTGTAGATTGGTGACTCTTATCAAATTCAGTAGCAGTAATTTGGTCTTGAAGGACCTCACCATCTTGGATTTTGTGTCGAAAAGCTCTAAATAAAAAGAATCATAGAATTCTGATGTGAAAGAATGAATTCAAATAATTAAAAACAAATGAAATGATTCACATGATATGTATATAATAACTGTATCAAGTTGGGTATAGGAATATATTTTATTTGTAAACAGCAGCAGGTGGATTGTTGACCCTAATGGCCTTTTGTATGAATGAAGGAGTTTAATTTTATGCTACATTACAACCGATTTTTTTAATTATTTTTGGTGTTAAGACAATGAATCAGCCAGAGTTCTTCATTATTAATATGTTGTTTTCGTACATCTTGCCCTAGGTTAACATTATACAGATAATTTAATTTTACAGTCTTCACCAGTGGCTTATGAGTTAATATATTTTATTGTGTAATCTAGTTCATGTATATATGTTTTTATAATTTTGTTCATGTATGTACATTTTTAAGTCTAAATATAGGTATTTTTTATTGAGTGCTTGATTTTTTTCATTAAAGATGTATGAATAACTTACGAAATTTACATTGACAACTAATGTCATGACAATATTGTTCAAATAGATGGTTCAATTTCATGGGATGTCGTATTGGTCATACTAGAATAACACACGAATATCTTTTAAAAAATGAAGTAGAACCACAATGTATACCTTGTAACTGCAAGTATACTATTAAACATGTTTTAATCAATTGTATTGACTTTGCTGATATTCGTAAGAAGCATTTCAATGTCAATAATATGTATGATTTATTTAATAATGTTTCATTTACAAATATTGTTTCATTTTTAAAAGAAGTTGGAATATATTCTAAAATATAAAAATGTTATTATATTTAAAACGATTTTAAATTTTATCACGTTATCTTAATGTTCATTTTTATTTGTAAATAATCAATTTGCTTTAATCTAGAATTTTAGTTCATTGAAGGGCCTTTTGTCTGATTTTAAGAATATGCTTTAAATTGTTAAAAATATTCGAATTAGCTCTCGCCGCGATATAGCCTTGTTGTGCTAATGCGGCGTAAAGCAACCAACAATCAATCAATCAATCAATCAATTTCATGGACATAGTAAATGTTGTTTGTTTTTTTCTGTAAATTTTACGTATTAACATACTGCCATCATGAAATATTTTTAAAGCTTCAACTTGCACAATTAATGTGAAGAAGCAGTAACATGATGTGAGAATAAAGTGCAGTTAATAAGGCATGTATTATTTTGTCCCCGTTAAGGCAAGATCATACTAAACTGATAGATTGGAGGGAAAACAACAATTTTTACAGGAAGTATCAATTTAAAATCTATTTAAAAATTAGACTGCAAAACGTCAGTGAATATTTGTTTTCAATGTACGTACTGGGTGTAAATAAATTAATTTTTAGGCATAAATTTAAACAAACATTTAAATATAGTCACAAGATGACTGACCACAAACAGTTAAACTATGTCCGGTTTTTTTCACATGCTAATAAAGACCAGATCAGTTTTGGTAGTAACTACCACATACAGAACACTGGTACTTATCTCGGTTAAGGTTACTTTTTTGGTGCTATTTTTAATATTTGATGAATTTGAAAACAATGTTTACTCGGATATTTTTCCTGCAACTTTGGAAATTACTAGTATATATATATATAAATCTGGTTAACTTATATGTTGAGAAACTTAGTAAAATAAGGCCGAACTTTCCTCGTGAATTTCATTTACCTTATTTTTACAACGTAGACACGGCAGAAATATTCTTTTCTTTTTGGTAGGTATATAAGCCTTCCTTTTTAAGAAGCAGTTCAATCGACGGTATGTCAAGTTCGAAACAGCAAGCCCAAATTAACAAGTGCCAAAAAGGTTAGTATTTTTCAATGTGAAGATAAAGACTTAGACTATTTGAACTATTTTAAAACTCAAATTATTCAGTTAGATATACTGATGGATAAAACGGGAAAAAGCTGACAAAAAATCTTTGGACTCTTTTTTTAAATCAGTAATGAACATAGTTGATATACGTATTCAACATTTTAAAGAACATTTTACTCTTAACAATAACCACAATAAACCTATTTCTCGTATCAAACATAAACTAAAAGAACTAGCCAAGGAATTTGTTTTTGTCCCGGCCGATAAAGCTGCTAATAATATTATTATTGTTTGACGTAAATTTTACATTGAG